TTTTTTTTTTTTTTTCTTCCGATTTTTTGGAAGTTTACATTCGCAGTTTCAGGTCATAATTTTGTTGGTTTCATTATAGAAAGACATGAAATACATTTTAAATGTTGACTGTATAGTACCAGTAAGCAGTTACACTTTTATCTTTGGATTGTACTAAACATGTCAAAAGAATAATATCAGTGTTTAAAGCCATTTTATTCACCATTTTAATATATATCAACAGTTTACTAAGAATAGTACCACATATCACATACAAGAGAATACATAAATGATATAATATTACATGGCATTTAATAATTTAAAAAATTTAAATTTAGATAAATACTTAACATAATTAGATAAACTTAACAAAAACAGTCACAAATAACAGCAATATATTAATTTACAAGAACATAACAGCTTGAAACCAAGCAGGTCATCACTAACTATTTTTTGTATTTTCAAAAGTATTCCAGTTTATACATTTCATATAATCTATTAATGTCTTGATATTCCCTGAAAAACCATTGCCTTCCTGAATTAATACATTCAGGGATCAGTCCTTTTTTCAATACAAACTGTTTTTCTACTTGCTGAATGTCTTTGCTGTTTGGCCACTGAAATGTTCCTGCTTTTTTGCAAGGTAACATGAAGTTCACAACTGCTTTATTCTCAGACATTACTTTATCAACAACACCAGGATACCAACTATCCTGATAAGCAACAACCAGATATTCATTTTCTACGAAAGTGTCATTAACATCTGGAAGTTCTTTATCAATTTGATTCATTGTAGAAAAATCATCACTGTCGTCATCATCTACACTGGTCACCCTTTGACTTTTTTTGTTTTGTTTCTTAAATGCATGTGAGTAAATATTCACAGACACCTTTTTTTCATCTTCTCTATGGCGTTTCCTCATAGCTTTCCCACCTGAACGAGCTGTTTTCATTAGATTACATTGTTCATCTTCTTTCAATTGTTCAAGCCATTCGAACAAATGTTCACGGTTTCGTTTTAGCAGCTGGACAGACGTATGATGATGAAATGATGCATTCGGGCGTCGTCTCTGACTACTATCAAGATCACCAAAATGGTGTTCACACCCTAGATTAGTGTTATGAGCAAATTTGGTTCTTTTTAAATCATATTCTGAGGGCTCTTCACTGAACTGTCCAACAAGAAAGTCTTGAAGCTGCTTCTGGATAGTTCTCTTCATAGCTGCTGCCATTGTTTTCAATGTGTCATTTAGGAATTCTGTAGGTTCAATGGTGTTTATAACTTGGACAAATTTTTCTTCATGGGGGATTTCAACATTCTCAGAATCAAACCACTTCATGTTTTTATCAGTAATGTCTAGTAATTTTTCTGGGTTTTCTTCACTAACTTTCAGCACGTTTTCAAGTTTTTTTATTATTGGTCCAAGACAAAGATATGGAACTGAACCTTCTGTCACCAACCACCAGTATGGACCAGTTATTTGAATGTACAGGATGCACAAGGCTCCAAGCATTTCTTCAACACATTTGCTCTGCAAATCTGCTTTTACAGCCTGAATTTTCTTGTTGTTGTTTGGAACTAAGTGGAGTACCTTGATAAATTCCTGTCGATGATACAAGATTTCTGCAGCGGTCTGGAACAGTCCGTTAAAGCGATTATCTTTGTAGTTGCCAATAACAGATCTGATGAAAAATGAAAAAGTAATGTTTAAAGGTATATTGGATCTTAAAAATAATATATTGAACTGAAACTAATGCCGCATTAACTTTTATCAGCAGTTGTAAATGAATGCACCACAGGGTTGGTAGTTGGTACCAAATGGTAGCTTGGTTATCAGAAGTTATTTTACTTATAAATCATGGTAATAAGCCAAGATATTATTTATTTTTATATGCAAGTTTATTTTAAATCCAATAAAAAGATAAATAGAATTTGATATGCATATTTTTTTATGTAAAACAGATGTTTATTCTATTCATATATTACCTAATTCCATTTGCAGCACAATGGGCTTCCCAAGCATCCCGTAAACCAAGGTGATCCCCAACAGGACCAAAGATGTCGGACGTAGTTTTGGCGACTCTCTCCACAACTGTTTCTCTTTTGGACCACATTTTAAACATTGGAAGAGCATCTCTACCTATTGGCCCTTGTTTCTTCTCAAGTTCTTTCTCCATAGTTTTCATATCTGTACAAATGTATCTATGAAACCCAAGTAAAACATGGGCCATGCAGTGGAAACTGAGCACATCATCAATTTCATTATTGTCACTTTTAAGTGCTTCCGAACGCCATTCTACAAGCAATTTGTTGGCTAACTTTTCATTAGAGGCACGGTCACTCATCGTGAATGAAAGTTTTTTGTAATGAACGTTTAGTAAAATCTTCATTTGATTTTGCATCAGAAGTTGCGAAGGTCTGAGAAAGTTCATTGATGTGGGACTTTGTAACCTCATTGATGGTTTGCGCTGTTTCTCTAGCTACTTTTGTAAATCCTAAACTTATAACTTCACCAGAATCTAATGTTACTGAAGTATCTAAAATATGCTGTTTTTTCCTCGATGTGCCATCACGACTTACACCAAAATGTGAGCAAGAATCAATTTTGTCTGCTATCATAACTTTGGTCAAGTATTGGCTTTCATCAACAATATTTTGTGTTGTTGATTCACTCGGTAGATCAGCTTTTTCAAGATTACATTTGAACAATGTACAGTTTAGAAACTGCTTTAATAGCTTTTGAAATTTTGGCCACACCAATTTCAAGACTGAAGAGTGACATTACACAAAGGCGCATGTCTGTGTTAAAAAGACCGTCATCGTTTCTAGTATGGATTTTGTTGTTTTCAATACTATCTCTCAGAATTTCATTTTCAATATAAACACTATCAATTTCTTTATCTTTCTTTTTCAAAAGTTCTGACATGTTTTCAATTGTCTCATTATTTTTAGCCCTTTTTAGTGCAGTACGATAATAACTGATCATTTTCTGAGCATTGACTTTCTTTTTTGTTTCATTTTCACTTGTTTGAACAATTTTTTCAATTGAATTTGACTTGTGTTGTAATGTTGACACCATATCATTCAATTCAGAATTCCTTTTTTCAAGCAGTTCTACTTTTTTCTTCAAAATCATATTTGATCTTTTTGTTTCATGTAAGGTTTTCCTCTCAGGGCTCATCCTGGGGGGAAATTTTAGGGAGAAGTGACGACCTCGCGAAAATTAGGGAGAAGGGAAACAACCCAATGTGTATGCATTAACATGCATGGCTATACATCCTTTAATTATAATATAAACACAATTAACATCACTTATAATATTTCTCCAGTTTATTAATTAATTTATAGTAGTATTAATTTAAAAGTAGAATTTATTAATTTAGTAGTAAGATCAGGCAATTGGCATCTAAATGTTTTTGAGCTGCAAATATGAATAAAAAAAATTATTTTTGATATCTATTGATCAGCTATTTATAAGCTTTCACTAAATATGTGTTTATATATTTTCATGTACATTTGTTGATAATAATGTGTAAGAAAAGATATGATGATAAAATCAATTTCACATTTTTTACTTTACTTTCCTCACCTTTAAAAGAAGGTAAAGTCACATTGGATATTAATTAATAATATCTGTTCTATTCTCTCAAAATCCTGATTGTTGTGATGTCACATTTATATGTATATAATTATGCTTATAAAACAATTTTCAAACATCAAAGAATATGTAAAATATGTACTGCAAACATTTGTGCACATTATATTTGATCACTAAAATTACATACATTCATTTCTTATTGAAAATTTGACTGAGAAATTGTAGAAAATTAATTTCTAATTACCTCCCTTTATTTTCATGAAATGTTAAATTCCGGTATTATCTTTATAAATAATGCTTTTTTTAAAATTTACAATATTGATAAATCTTAATCTGAGCGTCTTATTTACGAATTTATTTTTGAAACAATAAGAACACTTCCTTCCAGACAAATGTTGTTGTTATATACAATCGTTACATGATATACGACCGATATGTAGTTTTAAGCCGGGATGGGCCCACGTGCGTAAACTGCGTCAAATTTAGGATTTCTACAAAGAGAACAATGCCAACACCCTACGGTCTACAACATAACCAATCGCAAGATTTTTGCGAACTGGTTTTCTTAAATTTTCGCGTAGGTGTAACTATCAGAATCAGTAACTTTCTTACTGCTCGGTTTCGGGGCATTTCGCCTTGTAGCCATGACGTGAGCGACATAACAATTTTACAGTAAAAATTGATGTTAACAGACTGAAATCATTCAAAACTATGATTAAGTTTTTAATCTGGTCGCTGATCATTAATGAAATTGATTATTTTTAATTGACTAACAGTTTTGTGATACTGGCATGCGAGCAGTTCCCGTACAGAAGCAGTACCCGTATTTTTCATTTAAACGCTTGACTTTTACTTGCATTCTTCAAAAATTCATTTAAAATCAAGCAGATACATAAACGAGACAAAATCTAATTGTCAGTTCGGCAGTACGTATATAAAGTCTCATTTTCAATCACTTTCACCTGTGCGTCGTCAAAACGTGACCTTGTTTTCTCTGGGGGATTCCGTCCTTGCGCGCATGCGCAAAAAATACTTACACATTGAGGCTTGTTAAAAGGGTTTTTCCACTAATACCACCTGTTTACAAATAAGTAGGCAATGAGATGAAAATTGTTTAATTATCAGAATGTTGACCAATATTAATATAAATAATAATTTTATGGCTTTGATGCGTAAAATATCATGCATACAAGCATGTTACTGGAATATGAATGCGTTGGGGTAACGGTACCGGGTAATAGATACCCGCGTTTAGTTCTACGCTCTATTTCCTGAATTTGACATATATTTATCTCTTTAGATAATGGTCTGTTCAACAATTGTAAATGAAAAATAGGTCCGATATAATAAAATTTTATAATTATAATGGGTTAGATTTTATGTACGGGAACTACTTCTCTTCATACAAAATAATGGATAATTTCGGTACCCCAAATGAGGCCTCATAAGTAAGGGTTATTCTATGTTTAGAACATGATGGAATTTCCATGATTTGTGTGACGAGCCGAATATTGATGTGTAACATTCAATTATTGGTGAGTGAGCGTAATAAAAAATAATGATTAAGTAACTATGATTTTTGTACGGGAACTGCTCGCATGCCAGTAGCCGTGAAAAATCCATTGCACATCGCCTTTACTCGGGTTAAAAACCCACCATCGAAGTGCATCGTGTATATCAATTAGGGAAGATTGCACTTGTTTAGATAATCGGGGAAAAAACAATTTATAATTATCGCCAAATCCCGTATTAAACTCGCAAAACTATCACACAATTATACCGTTTCGGGCCGATGCTCTCATTATTTACTGTTTAGAGTAGGCGGTCGGTATCGCTTCGCTTACAGGTAGAAGGGTAGTATATAAAGCGACCTGCTGATTGGATAATGATAATTAGCGGTCGTCATATGGGCGGATACAATCTCTGCTCTTTACATCGCTAAGTAATTACTATTTGGGAATTAAGATTTTATCGGCGATGTTGACTTCTCTTTGATCAATCGGAAGAGCGAAATTGGAATATACACGGCGAAGTTTTCGCCTGAATCGCCCTTCCGGATGAGCCCTGCCTCTTCAATGCAGCTGCTTCATCACGTTTTGTAACGTTTCGCACAGAAAAATGACCTTTTATGGATTTTAATTGCACTAAGTTTTCTCTTTCAGAGTCAACTAACTGCTGTAATTGTTTCAATTCTTTCTGCTTCTTTGAAATTTCATATCTTAACTCATTCACATGTTTTTTTTCATTGTTAGAAATTTCACTTTTGGCGCGTCTTGTCTTTATAATTTCTCTTGGGACTTGGGGATATTGTGTCTCTATCACAGAACTTTCACTTTGTGCTTGGGTGCATTGTGTGTCTTTCATATTAGTTTCTTTAGGGGCTTGATTGCATTGTGTCTCTATCACAGAATTTTCTCTTGGGGCAGGGGTACATTGTGTCTCTATCACAGAATTTTCTCTTTGGGCATGGGTACATTGTGTCTCTATCACAGAATTTTCTCTTGGGGCAGGGGTACATTGTGTCTCTATCACAGAATTTTCTCTTGGGGCAGGGGTACATTGTGTCTCTATCACAGAATTTTCTCTTGGGGCAGGGGTACATTGTGTCTCTATCACAGAATTTTCTCTTGGGGCAGGGTACATTGTGTCTCTATCACAGAATTTTCTCTTGGGGCAGGGGTACATTGTGTCTCTATCACAGAATTTTCTCTTGGGGCAGGGGTACATTGTGTCTCTATCACAGAATTTTCTCTTGGGGCAGGGTACATTGTGTCTCTATCAAAGAATTTTCTCTTGGGGCAGGGGTACATTGTGTCTCTATCACAGAATTTTCTCTTGGGGCAGGGGTACATTGTGTCTCTATCACAGAATTTTCTCTTGGGGCAGGGGTACATTGTGTCTCTATCACAGAATTTTCTTCTTGCGGCAGGGGTACATTGTGTCTCTATCACAGGGATGTCATTTGTAGCTGGGATACATTGTGTCTTTGGAACATTATTTGCACTTGGGATTTGGATAGTCTGTGCCTCAAAACCTGAATTCACAGGCGTGGTACAATCAAAAACTTTACATTTCAGGTCTTCAAGTGAAGTTATACCTTTCACCTTCTTCTTTGAAGTTAATTTCTTTTTAATTTCAACAACACGGTTGATTCTCGACTTCAAAGTATTAGCATTGACGGCTGACAGATCAGGATTTAACCGTATTAAGACATCAGCAATTTTTGCACAGTTTTTGTAATACAAATAAAGTTCTAATACGACACCATTTAATATGTGGGAATGTGTAAGAGGCTTAATTTGATCAAGGGTGTTGGTACTTAAACCGATTTTTTGACAGAATTGTCCAATACTGTCTCCCTCCACAATCATAATGAACAATTGATGTGAAAGCTGTCAATCTTTCATTCAGTCATAGATAGATCTGGAAAAAAATGATAAATATGATGAATGACAAAAATATACATTCATATTCATGTATATGCAAAATAAATGGACTGAACATTTTGTTGTTGTTTTTTGGGTTTTTTTACCAGATCTATTCTCAACTGCTCAACCTTCACGGTAATTTCAAGTAAAAACCGGTTTATTATTGAAATAAAAACATTTAAAAATAAAAGTATTGCACCAGAACTGAAATCTGTATTGTTTAATTCTATATTTCTGATAAACTAGAAACATCGGAAACAAAACAAAGCGTGTATATTGCTCGAAAACAAACCGAAATTGAGCAGGTGCCCGCCAAGTATTTTTTCTCAATTTTACAAATAAATGCGTAAATATTACATAATATAATAACATACTGATATATTTTAATGTATAAAAGCATTTATCTACAAAAATTACATTTAATACAGCGCTATGACATGATTAATCGGTAATCTAAATAAATTCATTTGACCGCGTCGGTAAATTCAAAATGGCGGACTCGGGCAATTCTAGAAGGGCCGATTTTCTTCTACAACTCGCTATGATTAATCGTAAATGCGGATACTCAATCGTTAACACATTTTAATGATTTATACATCATTTTAAAGATAATTCTTTATATTTTTTAAAGCACTAATCGTTTTTTTATACTTACCGATAGTTTTCATGCAAATCGTTTGAGAGTTTAGGTCATCATTACTTTTTTGTTTGTCAACATATTTGAGTTACGAAACTTCCGGGATGAAGTGCTAACATAATTCTAATTGGTCGTAAAAAATCATGAATATTAATTAGCAACAAATGACCCGTGAAACAGGTCACGCGACATACATGTAACAAGCGCGTGTCCATAACCCGCTTACGTAATATCGGCAGAAATTACCGCTGTATATTAGATTTAACTGATAATGATTAAAATACATATTTTACATGATTTATGAATTTTATATCATTTGAAAGATAATTCATTACTTATTTAATATATATAAGTTTTATTATTGTAAAATTAAAATTAAATGTTTTACAATCATTTTTCTGGACACAGTATTGATTTTTTCAATGTATTCTAAATACTGAGGCTTATCAGTTGGGGTTGCTATCTAGAGTCTACCAGATTTAAAATTCAATTAGTTTTTTGAATTTTCAAATTTTTTTTTAATTATTTCTCGGAGGGAGATATTTAATGGGGTACTACATGTATTTATGAAAGCATCAGATGAACACTAACACTATTAGTCCAATATATTAGACTTTACAGGCTTGTTATAGTTCATTGGTCAAGCCTGACATCTCATAGTTATTGCTCAAAAACGCATAGCATCATAAAAAAATAAAAAAATGTCTATTTTCTTGCCTTTCAAGCTTTATTCAATAGCTTTTCTTCTTTTCTTTCAATTTCATGCTCAATCATACACTAAAGCTCTCGAGCATTGTACTTATCAATTTAAAATAAAATATAAACATCAATCTATTTTTGTCTATCAGTCATACTGGTTAAGCAAGGTGCTTTACAGATTGATTCCAAATTTTTGAACGGAAAAAATATATTCGAACACACTGACGGTGCATGGGCAATTATTTTGTTAAAAAAGTATTTCGTTAGAACGTTCTGACTCAGTTGAACACTTGCATTTGAATTAGCCAATCAGATTTCAAGCACTGTATGGCGGCCATTTCGGCCATCCTTAAAAAAATGTTTGTTTGCAGTAACGCTACCGACTCACAAAATTTGCCCCTACTCAAAATTATTTTTCATGGTCTGGAGAAATTTTTTTTTTTTTGAATCAGAAAATTATGCCTTGTGCTTTGTTTTCGTTCTTTTAAAGGTTAATAGAAGAAATAAAATGTAGGTCTTATTAAATTAGAATTCAGTTATCAATTAATTAATTGTTACCAGATTATAAAAGCATATATTGTCCAGCATTTTGAAATTCCGTGTTTATTTGGGAATACAGTTCTGAATCAATAAAAAAAAATCGACCTACCTACCCATCTTGAAAATTCTGGGTCAGGTAACTGCAAACAAACATTTTTTTAAGGATGGCTTTGTTTATAGGCTGTAAAAGGAATTTAAATACATGAGAGGATTTAATCATGATTTTTCGGATGTGACAGTTTAATTATTTTGACAAAAGGTATTTAATTTTTAGTTTTGTTTATAAACTAATGTAAAGACACGCTGTCTTAATTGTTTTTCGTTCCGCCCGATTTTCTGGCAGACCATGCTATGGGTTTTTGAGCAATTTCGATATGACGTTGCTTTGCCCAGAAGCAAAAATATCTCGAAGCGACGTCATATTTATTGGACTACAACACTATCTGTATCAGCAATGAAGAGTTTAGTCCACTACGTGAACTTGTTTTAAATACATTAAATGGCGACCATTCACTGTCAGTAGCATCTGATACACGCAAAATTCGAATTTCAACCTCTTAAAGGGTCTTTTGATTCCTTTCTACGCCACTGTAAATCGGCTGTTCGGTATTATGTAAGGAGTCTACTGATTGGCAGGGATTTTTTTTCTCTCAATTTTCAAAACAACCTCAGTGTCTATTCTAGGAATTCAAAAATAGGTGTGATTTTCCCTCCTTTATTTCAAAAAAGGGGGTGCCAACATAAACTGCCAATGCTAAATCGTCTGCATTAAGTTTACACCGAGGCGTTCAACCGATGAAATAATTAAAACGAAAATATTTATTTAAGGCAGCAGACGTTGTCCCCCTTTAATTTTGTAAACGAAAAAATTATTATAGAACTGTCACAATTGATTATAAAGGGATTGACAATACAAACAATCGTCCTACCTTTCATGTCTAGATCGTAGCCAAGCCAGGAATTGCCTAATTTTTCTTGATTATTTATTACACTAAAATGGCGCCCAACTGTCAGACCTAGCACACTAGTCAGTGTTCCCACTTCTATTTTTCATGGGGAGTATTTTTACCCCTTACCTTTGAAAACTGGGGGTAAAATAAAAATTCAGGGGGTACATAAATTTGTACAATAATGACTGACAAGTGAGTGAAGGATATTATCGATATATCGGTGTATCGTTGATTTTAGTCACTTGATATCGATATATTGTTGATATGCTTTGCACTGAATCAATGACAGCTCTAGTTTCCGGCCTTCTCTAAACTTAAAGCATATTTTTAAGGGGGCTTATATTTCACTTTTTGTTTTCTTTTTTCTTTAAAATCATGCAGTTTTTCCCAAAATTTGAATTGTTTCTTCCCCTTTTGCAATATACTGTGTAATTTTTAGCTGGACTATTTGATAAGAATAAGTAGAGCTATTGTAGTCACCCCAGAGTGTCGGCGTTGGTGTCCGCGTCGGTGTAACCACTAGTGATGGAAATCGGTTGAAATTTGTCCCAATTGATCATCGGTTCAGTCGGATGGGACATAATCGATAACTTTTCGAATAAAGTCGCGTTAAAAAGAAATATGGCAGTAACATTTCTTCACAAGGCACTTGATTATATTCAGTAACATAAACTTCATTTAGCACTTTTTAACACAGTTTTAACCTTATATAGTCATAATTTTACGAAATAGATTTTATTTTGCAATGGATGTCAAATAATAACATTCAAATCACATTATATTACTATTGTTTACATCACTTATTGATCCTGTTCAACTCCAAATTGTCTCTGAGATGATTTTTTGCGATCGGCGAGGTGTTCCTAAAAGAAAATTACCGTCAGAATTAATTACATTTGATTTTTAAACATTTTCGACGATCGCGGAACAAATTTTAGTGAATCGATTATTGTCGCTTTACATAACAGTAACTGATTATCGACAACTTGCGACAATCGGAACATCCCTAGTAACCACTTATGTTAAAGTTTTTGTAATACCTCAAATATTTTCAAAGTCCATTGACATATGGCTTTGAAACTTTGCACACTTGTTCATCATCATGACCCTCACCTGTAGACAGGGGGAGGTAACTGTATCAAGCAGTTTGACAGAATTATGCCTCTTTTTCGACTTAGAATTTACGTTTAAGTTTCTGTAATACCTTAAATATTTTCAAAGTCCATTGAGATATGACTTTGAAACTTTGCACACTTGTTCACCATCATGACCCCAACCTGTAGACAGAGGGAGGTAACTGTATCAAGCAGTTTGACATAATTATGCCCCTTTTTCGACTTGCGACAATCGGAACATCCCTAGTAACCACTTACGTTAAAGTTTTTGTAATACCTCAAATATTTTCAAAGTCCATTGACATATGGCTTTGAAACTTTGCACACTTGTTCACCATCATAACCCTAAACTGTAGACAGGGGGAGGTAACTGTATCAAGCATTTTGACAGAATTATGCCCCTTTTTCAGCTTAAAATTTACGTTAAAGTTTTTGTTATACCTCAAATATTTTCAAAGTCGATTGACATATTGCTTTGAAACAAGTTGAAATTTGAGAGCATAATAGGACTCTCTCCAAGTCCTATATCATTATTCTGTAATATGGATTTAAAGAAAAATTTTACCCTTTTCTTTACTTAGAAAATTTTACATTATCAAGGCTTTTTTACTATCAAGCACTAAGAATCGTCGAGCGTTGCTGTCCTACCAACAGCTCTTGTTCCCTAAAATTAAGGGCAAGGCTTCTTTCCTAACCTGTGTAAAAAGCTGTCAAGGGTCAAGGAGGACATTTCAGTCTACAAGCTTAAAATACAACTGATTTAAACAGCATTTCAATTGATGATATTGATTGCCAATCAATAATGAAAACCCTGTTAAGGTTGTTGACTTCAAACCACTTGCCCCTCACCATATTGGGTTTGAATTCCCTCAAGGACTTTTATTTTATGTGAGAAAGCTATCCAGCTAGCTTACAGAACGTCAGTGGTTCAGCCGTTCTACTTGGTGCCCATTTGTGCCTGAAATAATGCACAGAAGAGCATTTGAGGTCTTCCTCCACCAGTAAGTTGAAACATCACCATATGACCTATATTATGTCAGTGTGATATAAAGCCCAATCAAACAAACAAAACATTTGATGATATTTTAGCTCACCTGAGCTAGCTCAAGGTGAGCTTAAAGGATCTTTTTATGCCCCCGCCATGTAATGGCTGGGGCATATAGTGTTACCCTGTTCCGTCCTTCCGTCATTCTGTCATTCCGTCATCATCAGTTTCTGTTCATTATCTTAAGAACTGTTGCACACATTCAACTCAAATTTGACATATGAATATGTCATGAGAAAATACAGGTCAAGTTCAAATTTTGTCATGGTTCGGTGATTTTTGGCAGAGTTATGCCCCTTTTACTTTGAAAATAATATGAAATTTCAGTTTCCGTTCATTATCTCCCCAACGGTACTACACATTCAACTCAAACTTGGCATATGGATATGTCATGAGAAAATACAGGTCAAGTTCGAATTTGGTCATGGTTCGATGATTTTTGGCAGAGTTATGCCCCTTTTACTTTGAAAATAATATGAAATTTTCAGTTTCCGTTCATTATCTCCCCAACGGTGCAACACATTCAACTCAAACTTGACATATGGATATGTCATGAGAAAATACAGGTCAAGTTCGAATTTGGTCGTGGTTTGATGATTTTTGGCAGAGTTATGCCCCTTTTACTTTGAAAATAATATGAAATTTTCAGTTTCCGTTCATTATCTCCCCAAAGGTACAACACATTCAACTCAAACTTGACATATGGATGTGAAAGGAATGCGCAGGTCAAGTTCAAATTTGGTCATGGTTCAATGATTTTTGGCAGAGTTATGCCCCTTTCACTTTGAAAGTAATATGAAATTTTCAGTTTCCGTTTATTATCTCCCCAATGGTACAACACATTCAACTCAAATTTGACATATGGATATGTTTTTGGAATGCCCAGGCCAAGTTCGAGTTTGGTCATGGTTCAATGATTTTTGGCAGAGTAATGCCCCTTTCACTTTGAAAATAATATGAAATTTACAGTTTCTGTTCATTATCTACCCAACAGTGTTACATATTCAACTTAAATTTGACATATGGATATGTCAAAGGAATGGGCAGGTCAAGTTGGA